ACAGCAGAGTTAAAAAAAAATCACATTAAACTCTTTAAATGTTGCCGGTCTTGAACAAAATCTTGTTCCATCCTAATTAAAAACTTATAAATTCCCCAAATAAATTTTTATTTTGAAAACATGAGAACAAGATGTAGTAAATCCCTGCGGATACATCAGATTTACAGACAAGTCCAAGGCGTCTCTTTCATGAGAGAGAAGTCCTGTTGTTGAATTATTCGTTTATCCACATGAGTAAAAGCATGATGGAGGCATTTAGGATGATCTTTAGACTTCCTCTGGATGGATACAATAAAATAGCAAAAGAACACAAGAGGGGGAGGGAGAAATAGAGAGGGAGGGAGGCTGAGAGAGGGAGACAGCTTTGCAGGAGGTGGGCTTCTGCAGACAATCCAATCTAGATTGGGAGGCATTATTTCCTCCTTAGGCAGAGGGGCTGCTGATAGCTGGCGATGACAGAGAAACGCAGCTGAAAAGAGCAAAAACACAACGATCTGGATTTGTTTTTGGACAGAGCCAATAGACAAAGCAAGGACTGAGTCTTTTTTTTGTGGCGAGTCTGCGTTTCACCTATCGAAGCCCATCAGTAGCAATGGCAGTGAGTACGTGGCAGGCTCTGTCTCCACTGCAGTGGGCTCGCTGGGGCTGGTTCACGCTGCTAGGGGGGGCCGGAGATGAGGACAGCCCCGGCTCAGATCCAGCTCTGGGGCTCCTGCAGAGACTCTCCTGGGGATCGAGCCATGACAACATGATAAAGGCTGCCAGGGAGGCAGTCAGACAGAGGTGAGGCAGGAAGGGATGCTGAGAAGGCTGGAGCTATAGTCAGGGTGTGTCTGCAGCTTCAGGTACCCGAGTCTAAATTATAAACCATAAAATGTTTTTTACACCGGCTGTGTGTCTCTGGTGTGTCGTTACCTGTCACCTGACTGCTGATTCATTGTTTTCATTTGTGGTAAAAAGCCTTGAGCTTATTTCTTCACTAATTCTCATCAGTGGAAATAAAAATTGATCTTTCTTTTTGGTTCTTGATAAAAGGGTTAGGGGTATCTGTGTTTTATCTCTGTGTGGTCCTAACCTGACCTTCCTGATCTCATCCTGCTGGAGTCCAGGCATGTTTCAGTCTAAGAACATTTACTCAGTTTGTTCTGTCTTTTGGTTTTAGGAGCTCAGACTCTGATGGTGCTTTTGAGACTCCAGAATCTACAACTCCAGTGAAGTCTGCTTCTCCCATCGAGGTCCATACCGAGGAGCTAAGATCTGATGACAAAGGTACAAGCAGAAGATTCAGTGTGTGCAAGTGAATGGTATTGTTGCACCATCTAGTGGAATTAGGTTGCAGTTTTCTTCTGATTTATTAAATGTAAAAACAATATTTCCCCCCAAAACTGAGGAAATATTCAGTAGGGTGCTTTACAGCTAATTAAAACAACAACAAAACAAAACAGTTAACATATTTCATTAATCAAAAAAGCATTAAAGTGGATAAATATTGAAAATTGATGATGTAAAAAAACTAAGGAAAACTTGATAATAAGGAAAACAAATAGGGACTGATGCATGAAAAACATGAAAACATCATTTTTAAAGTCTTCTGTACAAAAGAAAACCAAACACTAAACATTGTTGCATAAAATAAAAATTCAATACATTCAATACATTCAAATTAAACAAATTTAAGGTACATTTTTACATGGATACAGGTGAAACAAACAAAATAGAAAATCAGGTGAAAGTTCCATCTATGTCACTATACAACATAAAGGTGAAAAATAAATAAATAAATAGACTCATTCCATGCAAAGCCAGATATTTCAGTCATTACTTATAATATAATTATAATTTGTTATAGTTATAATAATTTGTGATGATTGTGGATTACAGCTTATGAAAACCCCAAATTCAAAATCTCAGACAATTAAAGTATTGTGAAAAGCTTAAATTTTCTAGGCTCAAAGTGTCAAACTCTAATCAGCTAATTAACCAAAGATGCTATTCGGCATGTATTAGAGGTTTCCCTGCTCCGACACAGTTGATTCATCTGTTCAGCTGCTCATCAGGCTCTGCAGAAGCTGGCAAATCGCCTGCTGAATAAAAGCAGGTCTGTTGAAGCAGGGAAAGCTTTAAACATGCTGGATAATAGCCCCCAGGACCAGCTAGGGTATCCTCCCCTTAAATAGTCTCTCAGTCTAAGCTCAATAGTTGAAATAAATGGACTTTTGCACCATATTCTCATTTTTTGAGTTTCAGCAGTACGACTTTTTTTAAATTAAAAGTGAAAAATACAAATGTGATACATTTAATTGATTGGACTTATTATTTTGTGCCAGTTGAAATGATCTCAAAGGACTTGGCTATTTTGGTTATATTTTGATTAAAAACATTTATATTTAACCAGATTATCTTGAAGGTTTAACTGGAACAACTGGATTTTTATGGTCCTTGAAGGGTTAGGGTTAGAATGAACTGCAGAAGATTCTTGGATGAGATGCGAAATGTCTTTGCGGAAAACAAGAAAAGTCCAGTTGCTCCAGCTAAACCTTCAAGACAGCCGCGTCCTGGATGACGGACAATCTACACAAATTAATCAGAGGAGATTAAACAAGTTCTACATTCATCTTTTTCCTTATTTTTGCAGATGCCACCAGTTCAGTGAGTGACCTTACAACAGACGTTACCGAAGCCAATCCGGCTCGCTGCTCTCCTACCACTGTTTTTGATGAGAACAAGCCCATAGCTGCTAGCGGCTCCTATAACATAGACGTTTGTGCCGTAGAACCAGCGTGTCTGACCCGTTCTCTCAGCCTCCAGGGAGGAGAGCTAGACAGCACTGAGCTGTTGGATGGATCCGTGTCAGAAGGCTTCCGTCCACATTCTGAATCCTTCAGCGTAGGCACAGAGAGTGCCCCGGGTACGCTTCGCAGGCCCAAGAAAGTCCGTCCAGGGTCTGTGAAGAAGAAGCCCCTCCTCAGGCAGAACTCCAACCCCGAGAGCTCGAAGCCAGCCTCATCCAGCAGCACTCCAGAAATCAAGAAGCGGGCAAAGCCTCAAACTGCCAGCCCCCTGCAGCCTCAGGAGGAAACAGAGGAAGGCTCCGCTACTCCAAGCCTTGGAGGGACTCTTGAAAAACCACAGAAGAGTCAAGTGGAAACTCCTCCTCCTCTACCTGAGGAAACAAATCATACCTGCCAGGAGGAGAGCTATGGTGTCCCTGCATTACCCTTGTGCCAAGAGGAAAGCTCTCAGCCGGCTAGTCTAACAAACAAGGACACCTCTCCTATCCCTCCTAGTGCCTCATACAAATGGGATCCAAACAATTTTGAAAGCATCGACCCCTTCCGGACTGGAGGTAGTAAAATTGCCAATTCCCCTGTTCTGGGTCGTAAAAGTCCTGTTTGTGGCCCCACATCTAGCCCCCCAGAGAGTCCTCCTGTACCTGCGTTGGAATCACAGCAGCTTTCTCCCCCAGCTCCTGTAGAAGCACCAGTCAACAACCCTGAGGAGCAACCTATTTTACCCAAGCGTCAGCCGGTAAGACTGGAGTTTGACTACTCAGAGGAAAACCCAGAGGCATCACATCAGGCTTCTCCTCCACTTAAAAAGGTGGGCAAGAAGCCTAGAGCCAAGATGCCGCTGAGGAAACCAAAGCTGGGGCTGAAGAAGCCCCCTCCAGCTCAGACGGAGCAGCTGGACAACAATCCTCCTCCACCTCACGGGAGCAGCGAGGATGAAATCACCATTCCTGCAGCGTCATACAACTATGACCCTGATAAGTGGGAGGACCCAAACTTCAATCCGTTCTCTTCAAAAAAAGGCATCTCCAGCTCCCCCAAATTATCCAGACCATCGTACAACTACGACCCCGACAACTTCGACGACTCCGTCAACCCTTTCAGATCCTCCAACAAGATGTCCAGCTCCCCTCCCAAGGCCTCCGCTTCCTTTGAAATGTCGCCCAACGACTGTGACAATGAAAACGACAACATCGGGGAACTGGTGGACCAAAACCAGAACAGGCCTGCCAAGAAGAAGAAAACACCGATAAAATCGTAAGTTCACGTTGAATTCCGTCAAAGGCGGGGTCCCCGTGAAGCTTTTCTGATAGTTTGTGCTCCAGCAGTTTGTCCTTCCAGTGTCCTCTTGTCTCTGTCACCTGTGTGTGTGTGTGTATTCTCATATGTCACAGGAAGTCCAGGGGCATGTCCTCTCTTTGTTGTATGTTGTAAGTACAAGGACAACTCTGCCATCTACATTTGTGACCCATAATTCCACGTGGCTCCATTAAAAGCAGCATGTTGTCCCTTTTCCTAATAACAGACGTCATAATCCTTCCAAGCTCACTACCAAACAAAATCCTCAGCCCGAATAATCAAACCATTCAGCTCTTTACTCTAACATGACTCAGCAAAACAACATTTTAGATCACTTCATGCAGCAGTTGTGGCTTAGATTGGAAAATTTGCTTTTACTTTTAATGTTATTTAAAAGAAATTGAGGCATAACTTGTAGGATTCATAAGTGCATCATAATCGTCATGTAGTGTAGTAAAAAAATCACTAGATTGTTCTGATTTTCTCAAGATCTTTTTCTTTTATGACCTTAAGAAGTTCTTAAACATCTTAAGCAAATGAAAATAAATATGATGGATGAGAAAGTTCAAAATAATTAATTATTTTAAAAGAAACATTCAAAAATATCCACGAGAAAGGGTTTCAAGGCTGTTAGGATGTGATTTGTTTATTGTTTGTAATCCTGGAGGTGCTTTTTAAGTAACTTGACAAGCAAAAAGGAAGAACAGGGAAAAAAATAAATAATGATCAATCCTGGAGGAGATAAGAAGCGGTAAAAATGCTTTTCTTCATCTCCTGATTATGTCCAACTGAGGCTAAAGACTTGTTTGAGCTCCCTCTGGTGGTCATTAATGGCTACTGCTGAAATAGTTATTTTCTTCTTTTATGAGTTGGTGTCAAATCAATTCAGGTACAAGAAAGAAAGAATAAAAGCTCACAAGCACAATAAAAAAAGCTAAAAAAATAATGATTAAGATGTGACATTTATAGATAAACAAAAGACAAATCCTGCACAAAATAGAGTAAAACTGGATGTTTTTCTGCCGTTTGTAAACACATAAAAACCCTCTCAGATGGAACAAAAGGAGTGTGTTTACAAATTGTTGAACAAAAGCTGTTACTTAATCAAAATATTAAAAATAAAGTGCTCATAATACCCTTTTATCACTGAATTTAATCTTTGTTTTAAACATTTCTGTGTCATTCTTGTCATCCTTTGACAGACAGAGCAGGTTCACATTTTAATTAAACACTTAATCAGTAATAATTGGTGTCTTTCAGTGGGGCGCTTGGTCTGATAAATATGTCTGTTCACGTTTTTGTTTCTTCCAGTAATACTTTCAGAGTGAAGAGGTCACCAAAGAAATCACCATCGTCTGTAACATGCCAGGTGAGTCTCTAAAGCTGCCGGCTTTTATTCATTTCCTTTGATTCTCCTTCATCTGAGTCAAATTCCTTTTTCCTGCCCTGCAGGATCCAGATGAATCCCTTCATTCCCAGGAAGATCACGCCACAGACGAGGAGAAGTTGGCCTCCTCCACCAATCACAAGTGGACAGTCCAGCATGACGTGGACTCGGATTTGAACGCCGCTCACCACGACTTCCCCGAGCCCTGTGACATCACATCTTTTGTTAACGAGAACAGTCTTCCTCAGGAGGCTCCAGGTGAATCCGGCTCTTTGTTCTCCCGTCCACCTGCGTTCACACAACATCAAAGCATTCCAGAACAAGACACACTCATAGAAATTCAAAGCTTGTGTTTGGATTCATGTCTGCTTGTTTCTTTACCAGTTATTTTGCAGAGCAGTGTGATTGATTTTATTGTTTTGCTTGTGGTAACAAAAGCTTGTTGGCCCACTTCTGAACTGTCCTCTGACCTGCCAGGAGAGCCACCTCTTCCCAGAGGCTGTCTGGCTCAGCCCATCTGGGTCGGAGATGACACAGAGAGCAAACAGCCCTGCCCGAGCCTCTGACACCGTCACAACAATGATCAGATGTGTTTCTCAGCCTTTCATGCTAAATCTAATTCTTAGTTTTATTTCTCTTAGTGCAAGATTATGAAATTGAGTACATGGAGAAGATTGGCTCTTCGTCTCCTGTAAGTATTTAACGTTTTTTATGGATTTTTACAGTTTTTGATATTTCACATGTTGTTTTTGTCTCCTAGCTGCTTTCTGTGAAGAAGCCATCTTTGTACTTGAATTTGGATCCGGTGTCTGACAACTTAACCAAAACTACATGTGCTCATGGATCTGAGCCCAGCTCCCCGTGCACTGGGTAAGACACACTGAGTGACTCACAGCTCTTAGTGCAAGTGGGTTTCTTCTTCAGATTCATATTAATTCATGTTTTTGTTCGACAGCATTGTGACGATGATAGAGAGCTATTGGGGCTACTCCTACTAGTGAATAAATGACCTAAAGTTGTTGACAGACAACAACTTAAATCTAAGTGCAAAGGATCAGAGGTCTCAGGAAATAAGATGTTCCTTGACCTTAAAGATGCAAAAAGTAAGAACTTTATTGCGAAATAATCACAAAACAGTCTAACGCCTTAGTCATGTCAAAGGAAGGTTCCATTGAAACAGATTTCCTTATCAGTTGGCTGAGGGGTTGCCAGTTTTTCTCCTTTTAAAACGTCCAAAGATGAACATTTAGTCTTTGGCCGTTTGTCAAGTATGCAAGTAAGTTCTGTTGGACTTGTCAAGTACGTTCTTGGTAAGTACAGCAGAAAATCCGTACTACCAAGTACAAGTGTACAAGGACAGCATTTGGAACAGAACTGTACTCTGTTACGTCACGGCAACAAGTGCTACTTTATGCTATGGTGAAAAATATGACCTGAAACAAAGACAAAAGTCTAGTTTGTCCATTAAATAACAAAATAACAATTGATACATTTTATTTGTAAAATCTTTGGTCCACTTTTTCAGTGTTTAGTGTTTTGTTTATCAAACTTTCTTCTAAATTGCTAAAATGCCAAAATTTGTTGCTGTTAAATGAAGAAAAATATGTTTCTTTTTCCAAAAAAAAAAAAAGATTTGTGACAAGGCTGGTTTATTTTGATTTAGGGTTAGCTAATTAACAGTTTGCAAGAGTAGACTCGTTTGTTTTGATACAAAAAGTGCAGTACCCAAATTTGACCATAGGATGTCATTCTTACTTATTGCACCTTTAAAGCCATCACACACACAACATAATGGCAATGTCTGGTCATTAACCGACTCCTCTCATCCCCTGCAGGAGCTTTGAAGAGATTGAGGCTCAGATATCTGCGGGGATGAAGACGCCGGTGTTAAGTTCCCGGCCCGGTCCTGAAGGCTGTGCTGCGGACAAAGGCAGGAAAAGAGAAAACGAGGTGCTCAGCCGAACACAGAGCACCGAGAGGGATGAGCAGGTGAGCCAAACGTCTACAAATACACCCGCCCGACAGATGCTTCATGTCTTTCCGCTCATCATGTTTAGGAGAATAGGAGCCTAAGTTACGCCCATCTACTTCCGGACCGCGGGTCCATGGAAGAACGACAGAATGAATGCAAGTCGTCGCCGTCTTCCTCCGCTTATCCGGGTCCGGGTCCGGGTCGTGGGGGCAGCATCCCAACTAGGGATCTCCAGACCGTCCTCTCCCCGGCCTTCTCCACCAGCTCCTCCGGCAGGACCCCAAGGCGTTCCCGGACCAGATTGGAGATGTAACCTCTCCAACGTGTCCTGGGTCGACCCGGGGGCCTCCTGCCGGCAGGACATGCCTGAAACACCTCTCTGGGGAGGCGTCCTGGAGGCATCCTGACCAGATGCCCAAACCACCTCAGTTGGCTCCTTTCGATCCGGAGGAGCAGCGGTTCTACTCCGAGTCCCTCCCGAATGTCCGAGCTCCTCACCCTATCTCTAAGGCTGAGCCCTGCCACCCTACAGAGGAAACTCATTTCGGCCGCTTGTATCCGCAATCTCGTTCTTTCGGTCATTGCCCAAAGCTCATGACCATAGGTGAGGATTGAGACGTAGATCGACCGGTAAATCGAGAGCCTGGCTTTCTGGCTCAGCTCCCTCTTCACCACGACAGATCGGCTCAGCGTCCGCATCACTGCAGACGCCGAACCAATCCGCCTGTCGATCTCCCGATCCCTCCTACCCTCACTCGTGAACAAGACCCCGAGATACTTAAACTCCTCCACTTGAGGTAGGACCTCTCCCCCGACCCGGAGTGTGCAAGCCACCCTTTTCCGGTCGAGAACCATGGTCTCAGCAAGTCAGCGGGGCTAAAATGCATTTTTCTAATTCTGCTTGTTTTGTACCGTGGATTTCACATATGATGTCCGTGAATTTTAAAGACGCATTTTGACACCAAGAAAGCGATTATTTTCTAATGGGTGGGAACGCTATTTTAGGTTTAGTGTGAAAACAAGTCCAGGACTACAAATGCGCTTCACAAAGTCATTGAACCAGACACGGAGAAAACTGAGGGGAAATGGTTGTATGTTCAGTGAACTTCAAATCCTTCCTTCAGGAGGAAAGAACCGCCACAAATATGTGGCAAGTGGCAGCGACGCTAGCGGAGAGAAGATTATGTGGTGACGTCATTTATGCGACGTCCCGATGTCTGATTTGTAGTCATGCTAATTACAAACTTCTACAAGCTGACAAATCTCAAAGTGACAGGCGAGTTCAAAACACCCATCATTATTTTCCATTTAAATAGAAGTATAACATGTGTGTGATCCAGGGCGTAAGGCAGAGCGGATTAGAAAATAACGTTTTTAACCCCGTTGACTTGCATTCGTTTTTTCCTTCTTCCGGGGACCCGTGAGCCAAACGGAAAGGGAGGAGGCTTAGGCTCCCTATGTGTCATTTTTTATTTTTCCATGTTTTACATTGTGTTATTGTTTACTCACAAACGGGGTAACAGGTGCTTTCGCACAGGCCATGTCTCAGACCCTATATCCGCTCTGTCTCAGTCGGTGAATCAGCTCCCGATGCTGCCACTCAAACACTCAGCGCTTGCTTTGCCATGCTGTCCCCCCCCAACCCCCCCCCCCCCACCTCCTCCCCTCCACCCTCTGCCCACCTTTCCTGGTGCCCCTTGTAGCCCTCTAGCCAAGGCCCTACGGAGGCCCCTTCACCGGCCCACACCATGCCCCCATTAGACAGGCTGTCTGAGTGCGACGCCCCCCTGCAGTACCTGGAGCCTGACCTGGCTGAGACCAACCCAACCGCATTCGCCCAAAAACTACAGGTGTGTTGACACACGCCCCCACCTTGATAAACCTCACAGGTGGTGACTCTGGGGGTGTCGTGGTTGTGATATGTGTGTTTTTGTCTGGACATCACTTCTAATATTTTCACTTTGTTCCATCTTGCATTTTCCTTTTGAATTTCACATTTCCTTCCCTGAGTTGCATTTTTTTTAGCTTGCTGCATCAAATAGATTAACGGTGGGTAAAATGCAGACAGCAGCAAGTGTGTGCACTCATTTCAAGTCTCTATATGTTTCCCCTTGTTTCCTATCTCACCTTCGGGCTTCCTTCCTTTACCCCCTTCCCTCTGAAATTTGGCCGCGTGTGTGCGGCAAAGGAGGAGCTGGTGCTTGCTGCCCTGAGACTTGAGGCTCTGCAAGTAGCCCAAAACATCTCTCAGTGCCCCTCCCTCTCCACTGTAACCCCTCAGGTACTGCGCTGGATCAGCCTGCACCTGCTCAAGCGTGTGTGTGTGTGTTCTAGCCTTCTTGAATGAGTGATTACGCAATGTTGTGTGAAGCCTTATTTAAACCTAGTGGTTGTAGCACAACATCCACAATCCTGGCATCCTTGGCGTCCCTGCACCTAGCTCTAACATGGCTTTAAGCTCCAGGTTGATTCAGAAACGGAGTATTGGACCTCCTGGGTATCTTACTTTTGCTGTGCATGATGGGCAGCATGCATGAGAGGCTTCTATCAGCATGAATGTGGCCGGGGATGTCACGCAATCAACCTTAAATTAGCAACTTCAGTGAAATATTTGATGTTTTGCAATATTTTGCTGCAAATCCCCAGTTACATTATGATTTTCTGATTTGTCCTTTTCCTAAACTTAACATTACTAAACATCAGTTTTATGGTAGATTATTATAAAAGCTGTAAGGTGTTAGGATTCAAATTAGGTTGCTATTTTAAGTGCAGCCTTGGGAACAGCCTCAGACAGAAAAACTAGGTGTCGGAGTAAGGCGGAAGCTTTTCAGTCCTCTATCCTTCCGTGTGTCATGTTGTCCCGTACGTTTTACAGTCTCGACTCAAGAAACCCAGCACACGGCGGTGGAATATCAACGGTTCACCCTTACTCAAAGTAAGAGTAGCACAGTCCCCTTGTGGTTTGTTCTTATCTAATAGTGCAGTGTTAGTTACTGTGGAGTCCAGTTATTGGGTCATAAACCCAATGTTCTGTTTTCCCCGTGTTCCTGTTAGCAAAGATTCACAACTTCATTGTTTGAAATTATAATGACGTTTATGTACTCATGTTCAGTGATTCAAATTTATTGTTAAACTGCAGAAACTGACTTGTTTAAAGAGACAATGTGTAGTTTTTACAGTTAATCCCAGCTTCGTAACATATAACCATAACAATCGTGTCTAAAATACATGGAAGTAGGTCTAAGTCTCTAGGTGACGCAAAATTAGACACCATGTTTCCTTCTATGGAAGCCCGTGAGGCCAGAATGTATTTACTGATTTGTTACAAATGATTACAAAATTTTCCCCATTCCTAAACCTTGTTGGCCTAAACATTCACCTCTTCACTGAAAACAAGTATCTGTACGTCATTTTGCTGGAGGTTGCGCTCCCAGGGATTTTTGACCCTAATGGGCATCTGTTGGTAAGGTCTTACTTGACCACAAAATTACTGCTTGCTTGCATTGATTTAGGTATGTACTGCCCCCTATTGCCAGGGAAAATACACATTGTCACTTTAAAGCTAACTGTAAAGCATGATTGGCTTAATTGGTGTTTAACTCATTCACTGCCAATGACGACTAAACTCGTCATTAGCATTTTTTTTACTGTTTGAGCATCAAAATGAGCCCCTGCGCTGAGAGAACAAACATCTCAGCCCTGAAGCCAATCTACATCCGCATACATCACACGTCACATGATCAGGAAGCAGACCATCCATGTATTAGGAGATCGTTTTGGGCCGTTCCTGTAAAAAAAAGTGAGGCGCGAACCGGAAAAGCATCTGCCGATCACAATTCAACAACGGATTATGAAGGAACGGATAATGCTAGAAACACACGGATTCTTCCTGATGTAAGAGGCGAGTCTCCGCTTTGTTTTGGTTGTTTTGGTATCGACATCATGCTAGCGCACAACGTTCTGTGACTCTTAAAAAAACAGTAAAAACGGTGAGAAACGCTGGCAGCAAAGGCCGTTAGCGATCAGGAAATGGCTGGCAGTGAATGAGTTAATTGGCTAATCTGAAACTCAAAAATCAGATATACCTTTTGTTTTTGGGCTATGTGAACACTTCTTTACCAAGCAGCAAGAACAAAACAACTCTGACATTTCCTCTGTGAGGCAGAAATTCACACGTACAAAATGTGCAAGTTTTTGTTCCAGACTCCTAACTGTCAAATTAGAATAGAAAAAATAGGAGCTTTCTCTTTGTGGCAATTCAAAATGAGCTGAAATTGATGTTGGCAGGTCAGCAAAACTGGCCCTCCAAACCAGAATTAGTGCATCTCTATTTGAAACAGTTTGATGGACATTGAGGCTTGAATTATTTTAATTTTTACCTCATTTGAAAGCAAATTCTTCTCTTCACAACCTAGATGGCATATTCTAGTAAATCTGAACTGTTTATCTGATTTTTGTATAGTCTTCTAGTTTTTACTTAAAACTAAATAGTTCAGTTCAAAATGTGTGTTTGACTTTAAGGTTGAACTTGTTGCGCCGCTTTTTGAATTCACATTAAAGAGGATAAATAATGCAAGCCTCACTTTGCATCTTTTTGTGCTGCCATCTGGGTTTCTACTACCTTTATGAACACTCCTAACGTGAAAAAAAATACTCGTCAATCCATTTTCTGTCAGTGCTGAGTTTTAGGAATCGTGTGCCTAAAACAAGCTTTACATAAAAGCTGTTTAAAAAACTGTGTTGAACCACCTTTAAAATGCAAGAGAGCGCTACTGCTGGAGGAGCAGCGACTCTACTCTGAGCTTCTTAGCTTATAGCAGCCTGGGCGGGGGTTGGGTGGGCGTGGTCAGCTCCAGTTTGTTTTCTTAGAGTGACAGAGTCCTGAAATGGCTCATTCTGGAAGGTACTGAAACTGCCATGAATAAAAAGAATGCAAAGCCTTATATGAGAGGGATTTTGAGCCAATAATTTCATGAACATGTTTTGTATTGAACATGGAACTAAAAAATAACTCACAAATTGTCCCCATTAATTCATATTAGTTTATCACTCCACAAGGCAACCAGAGTAGCATTTAAAGAGCAAGTCACCCCCAAATAAACTTTTTTTTCTGATAAACTAAATAAACGAGTGTCTAATCGTGCCACAGACACGTGTAGTCAATAATTTGGCACTTCAGTGCATCTTAGTTAAAATTTAAATATTCTGCCTAAAACTGACAGTGTTCTGCCGTTGTCAGGTAAAACTCTGCACTATATTTGAATTTAAATCTGCCAACGCTATTGGCTAAGAGGTATGCTATGATGTAAACTGGTACATTATGATGTCACAGTGCTGTCGTGAGCCTGTGTGTGTGTGTATTTGCTGGCAGCTCCGCCCTCTCGGTCTGCCTGGCAACAGCATTTGTTGCATTTTTCAAACATGAAGTGGGAGTGGAGTTAGACTCTGGTAGGGGGTGACTTGCTCTTTAAGAAATCTGTTTGCAATTTGCAAAGGAGGCTTTTTTGAGGAGATTTCCACAAGACAGGATTTAAGTGAATATTTCTTGGACTGGTCTTTTCTAGCTAATGCTTGAGCCCGACACACTTGTTTCTTTGATAATAGATCACTGTGTCCTTGCTCTTTGCAAACCCCACAGTTTCAGTAAATCCTCCTGAAATCCAGTGAGCTACTAACTCCTTTGCTGGGAGAGTATACATGATGCTGAAGGTGCCATGAGCTGTAAAACGGTCACAAATAAATGCAAAGTCTCTCCTAGTATGCTTGATGTTTAGCTTAATTGTCATTTGGAACTGCGCAACCATAATTTACCGTCGTCAGTTTATATTGTTGTAATGACTAACAACCCAACTATACAAGCCTTACTGCCTGGTTTAGGTCCTGTCTCCCATCTACTTTTATGATCTGCTGCCCTCCCTTTTCTTTGTCCTGCTTGAACCATTCAAGCTACTGCGAGCAGCCAGCGATCATTGCTCAGCTGGAGCCAGCATCAGTCAGTCACATGACCAATACAGCAATGAAGACTGTTTCATCCAAGCATTTGGTGGCCGACCGAGTCTTCATGAGCATCGCCAGCTTGCCTCATTACACATTGTTTAATTCCGAGGCGTTGTTCAGAAAAACTGTTGAATGTGCTCATGAGGCCGAGGATGAGGGCATCCCCCCCTGTCTGTTTTTGTAACTGGTCATATTTCCGTCCCTTTCCCACCTTTTCTTTGGTTCCTGGAAGCAGCACAGAGACTTGTCATCTCCAGTGGAGAGTTCTGTGCCCAGGAGCTCCCTCTACGGCAGGACCACCACCACCAGCAGCTACATCGAAAGCGAGAGTCCTCACCTGCCAGGAGATCTGGACCAGTCGCTGGACATTGCACGAGAAGAGGTTCCTATCAATATGTTTGTGCGTTTAACATCTCTAACTTCGTTTAACAACGTTGTCATGCTCCACAGATTGTGACAAAGGAGAAAGAAGTTCTAGAGTGGCAAAGGAAGTATGAGGAGAGTCGACAGGAAGTGGTGGAGATGAGGTGAGAAGGATGGTTATCATCTTCATCAGAGACAGACATCGTGGTTCTGTCAAAATAATCTCTTGTGAATTTTCTGACACAAATGATCTCCTTTAGACTTTTAAATGTTTATTTTCTCATTTAAAATGTCAAAAAAAACTTTTCTACTTCAGGTAAAGACCTCTAAACAAGTCTCTGTATCAGCAGGATTTCATAACTAAATGTATTATTCGTTTTAAATTGACGTCATTTGGGACCGCAGAGAAGAATCTGTTACCTAAACTCACAGATGATGTTCGGCAGCTTCAACATTTGGAAACTCAGGAAGTCTGACAGTAGCAGCATGGAACCATATTATCTGTCAGTGGGTGGTGTGTGTGAGTGCAGCTGATTCCTTTAGCATGGATAAGACAGAGCTTACCTCCTTTAACTGACCGTGCTTTGGATAAGGAGGGGCTGAAAGGCCTAGAGGGAGTCGGGGCTAATCAATCCACTTAGGTTGTGCAACCTGTTTTAACCTAACCAAGTCATTAAGGCTTTGAGCTCTCTTAAGACAGAGTTCAAGGGATGTACTGCTGGGATAAACAAAAACACTTGTTTCTCTGTCCTCATGCTTATGTTTGACGTAATTGAAGCTCAAATCTACAAAAAGGAGGGAAACTTGTGTTTGGTTGATTATTTTGTTCTTGAAATATTACTTCTTGGCAATGAAACCTGTTTGTTTCCCTTTAAACAGAGCAACATTTGTACGTAAAAATTGTTTATTGGGTGAACAGCACACTCATTAACAGCAAAACTCATTAAAAAGTTGCCAACAATTCTCTGCTAATGTCAAATAGTTTTTCTTCTACAGACTACCGTTGTGTAAAGAAAGTAAACTTTATTTTGTGTAGCACCAGTGATGTTCAACACTGATTTTTTTTACCAATATCCGATAAACCCACATTTTCTAATGCCAATACTGGTATAACGTGATACCAGTTTCAGTTTTATTTATAAAGCACCTTCCATGACCTTATGAATAGACCAAGGTGCTGAACACAACCACAAAACACACGATAAGAACAAATACAGTGTCGTCGAACATTAAAAGAAAGATCAAAAACAAAAACAATCATAAAACATCAAGAGAAAGTCAAATGAAACAGTCATAAAAACATGTTAAATGAGAGAAAAAAAAGATAAAACATCAAGACGGTGTTGTGATCCCAAACGTCATCACATAAAAACGAGTTCTCAAGCAAGACTTAAAACCCAGAAGCGATGGCACCTGCCTAATGCCTAATACTCAAAGGCAACTCGTTCGAGGGTGTTGGAGCCAGAACCGAGAATGCACGACCCCCCCCCCCCCCCCCCCCCGATCTGTACTCGGAGCATGGGACCAACAACAGCTCCTGTTCATCTGAGCAAAGAGGCTGAGATGGGATATGTCTGTGCTGACAGATAAGAGGGAGCGGTGCCTTGAAAAGCCTCGTATACCAGTAGCAGGATCTTAGATCTGGCTCTGTACTGCACAGGGAGCCAGTGTAAGGCCGCCAGTATACCGTAAATCCTCTAATACAGGCCCGGGCCTGTATTTGACTCAAGCTCATCAAGCTCCAGGCCTTTATTGGAAGGAGGGCCAGTATTAGAGGCAGGCCTCTATTTCTATTTGAGCAAAATGAACTAATGGTTCGCTGGAGTTTTTGACAATTAAAATTGCGCCCACATTTTCAAAGTTAAACACATTTCTTTTAACAACGGTAGTTTCTGCTTCAGCCCTCTCCCCCCTCCCCCTGCGCAGCGGCCGCAAACTCACTGATGCGCCTGCAGCCTCTCAGTGTTCCTGCTGCTCTAAACATTAAAATAATTATTTCATTTTCTGTTCCTCACTTCTGATTACCTTCAATGGTGTCTGTTCACAATCAGAGTTTTGCATGCGCACGCTGGTTAAGGTAAGGATGGGGTGAGGGGAATGTTAAATTGCAAGAGGGAAAAGGTCACAATTTGGTTAAATGTCCGATTTACGGTGGGTGTCAGTACCGACGCTCTGGCACAGCGCGTTGCCCCCCCCCCCCCCCCCCCCCCCCCCGACACGCAGGAGCTTGTCACCTGCTGACAGCAGGCTGCTGTCTTTTCCGAGGGCTGCATCTTGCCGGTCATTATCACGTGACAGCGACTAGTCGATGACAGGCATAAAAAGTCACTATAGTGAAGTCAACTAGTTCATACAACCCCTGCTACTGCTCCCCAGAGTGTTCTGCAGCATAATCAGCATGTTCTCTTTGAACTTGATATCAAATTTTCGCCTCCTCTTCGTCTCCGCACGGTTAAAATTACCCTCGCGGTCTATCACTGGCAAATCAAAAGTGAGACGATGACACAACCGCCCTCCGTACTTGCTTATTACCACATTCCACCGGGCCACAATAAAATATCGGCCATTATTCACCTCCGCTGACTCCGACACCGGCCAAAATATGATACCCGGCCGTTAATTGAATACAGGCCTGTATTAGAGGATTTACGGTATACAGGATTCCCCACTGAACATATATCAGAGACTACCTGTAGGATTTTGGAGTGACGGGGATTTTCTATGCAGTTCAAACCGTTACCAAGCTGGTAACCATCATGAGGATGAGCTTCTCAATCCACAAATGCATTTTCCTCATTGATAAATCCCCCTGGTTTTCTGCTATCTTGATTCCCCTAATGCACAGACTGATGCATTTATTATTTCTCATCTGCAGGAGAATTGTTGCTGAATATGAGAAGACCATTGCTCAGATGATAGGTGAGTTCAGCTTTATCCTATGTGCACACTCCTGGCCTAAAAACCAACACATTCTGCTGACTAAACTCTGCCACTTTGATTTTGCACTTCAGTATATTGGATGCATTCTTGCAAGGCCTTATTCATTTCCACTGATTGAGAATTTTTCAGCTTTTTTTTCTTCTGCAGCAAGCAAGCTTTGCCATGTGCTGTTTGCGCTCGTTTGATTGACATGAACTGAATCCCGACGCCACTGGAGGGGAATGCGTTCACAAAATTTCAGTTACTCTGCGTTTTTCTGCTCTCACCTACAGTCAAGTCCATATATATTGGGACATCAACACAATGCTAACATTTTTGGCTCTATACACACCCACAATGGACATCAAATGAAACGAACAAGATGTGCTTTAACTGCAGACTGTCAGCTTTTATTTCAGGGCATTTACATCCAAATCAGGTGAACGGTGTTGGAATTACAACAGTTTGCATATGCGCCTCCCACTTGTTAAGGGACCAAAAGTAAAGGGACAATTGGCTTCTCAGCTGTTCCATGGCCAGGTGTGTGTTATTCCCTCATTATCCCAATTATAATGAGCAGATAAAAGGTCCAGAGTTCATTTCAAGTGTGCTATCTGCATTAGGACTCTGTTGCTGTCAGCTGTCAAGATGAGATCCAAAGAGCTGTCACTATCAGTGAAGCAAGCCATCATTAGGCTGAAAAAAACAAAAGAAACCTATCAGAGATAGCAAAAACATTAGGCTTGGCCAAAACAACAGTTTGGAACATTCTCAAAAAGAAGGAACGCGCCGGTGAGCTCAGTAACACCAAAAGACCCGGAAGACCACGGAACACAACTGTGGTGGATGACCGAAGAATCCTTTCCCTGGTGAAGAAAACACCCTTCACAACAGTTGGCCAGATCGAGAACACTCTCCAGGAGGTAGGTGTATCTGTGTCAAAGTCAACAATCAAGAGAAGACTCCACCAGTGTGAATACAGAGGGTTCACCACAAGATGTAAACCATTGGTGAGCCCAAAAACAGGAAGGCCAGATTAGAGTTTGCCAAACAACATCTAAAAAAGCCTTCACAGTTCTGGAACAACATCCTATGGACAGATGAGACCAAGATCAACTTGAACCAGAGTGATGGGAAGAGAAGAGTATGGAGACGGAAAGGAAATGCTCATGATCCTAAGCATATCACCTCATCAATGAAGCACGGTGCTGGAAGTGTCATGGCGTGGGTATGTATGGCTGCCAGTGGAACTGGTTCTCTTGTATTTTTTGACGAAGTGACTGCTGACAAAAGCAGCACGATGGATTCTGAAGTGTTTCAGACAATATTATCTGCTCATATTCAGCCAAATGCCTCCAAACTCATTGGACGGCGCTTCACAGTGCAGATGGACAATGACCCAAAGCAAACTGCAAAAGCAACCAAAGAGTTTCTGAAGGGAAAGAAGTGGACTGTTTTGCAATGGCCAAGTCAGTCGCCTGACCTGAATCCGATTGAGCATGCATTTGACTTGCTGAAGACAAAACTGAAGGGAAAAGGCCCCAGGAACAAGCAGGAACTGAAGACTGTTGCAGTAGAGGCCTGGTGATGTCTGTGTTCCAGACTTCAGGCTGTAATTGACTGCAAAGGATTTGCAACCAAGTATTGAAATGTATAAGTTTGATTTATGGTTCTTATTCTGTCCCATTACTTTTGGTCCCTTAACAAACTGTTGTAATCCCTACACCGTTCACCTGATTTGGATGTAAATACCCTCAAATAAAAGCTGACTGTCTGCAGTTAAAGCACATCTTGTTCGTTTCATTTGATATCCATTGTGGTGGTGTATAGAGCCAAAATGTTAGCATTGTGTCTATGTCCCAATATTTATGGACCTGACTGTCCATCCACTTTCAGGAAATCCCTGAAGATTTGGTTTGAGCTGCGGTCTGATTGAATTTCCTGCCCTCATCAGAGCACTGTCACGAAAAAGAAAAGTCTCTCTCTCTCGGCTCAAGTCTAACACTCAGCTTTCTCACGTGTCTTGACCCTCCCAGCTTGACTTAACACGCTCCCTTCTTTTCTGTTCTGCTCCCATCCTTACTATTTGATAACCCTGACAGGCATGCCAGGTGAGTAACGCAGAGCCGTACTTCTCTTGTTGGTGTCCGCTCACATCTCTTTATCCGTCCATCAGGGAGGGGAGCAGACGCTCTGCCTTTCTTCACCGTGTCGAGTAACTTTTGTTTGTCCTTTTTGTTGCATTTCATCCTGCAGGCTTTGACATTTTTGTTGTTTTGTGGGTAAAAAGGACAGAATTCAGATTTGAGTCACTTGCCTAATTGTTTTAATAGGTATGACTTCATACATGTTTGAGATACTAAAATCTTTTCCATCTGCATGACTAAAGGTTGTTTAAGCCCCTCAAGCAGCTTTAGTGACTTAAACAAGCAGATCACCTGTAAGCTAATAAGGAAGTCGAGAAAAAGTTGGAGCTTTGAAGTTCTGCCTCCTTATTAGTTTCTCAAAGTGTTTTTGTTTGCATGCAGTGAAAATGATCCAGTTGACTAGTGGATAATACAAAACCATTGAAACCCACTAACCCATTGTGATTTATTCACTGAAATGCCAGTTTAGTGGATTGTCTGTTAGTTGTTTGAACTGTGTTACAGCAGCATCTTCAGCAAATAGACCAAATGTCTCTACATTGTTTGTTCACCAGAGGATGACCAGAAGGAGAAGTCTCTCTCCCATCACACCATCCAGCAGCTCATCTTGGAAAAGGACCAGGCGCTGGCCGACCTCAACTCGGTGGAAAAGTCTCTGGCAGACCTGTTCCGTCGTTACGAGAAGATGAAGGACGTGCTGGAGGGCTTCCGCAAGGTCACACAAAGATTACTGGCTTGTGACTGGATTCATAAGTCTGCTAAGCACTAGCTAGTGGCAAGCTATTGAAAATGATTTCTCACTTGCCTCAGAATGAAGACGTATTGAAGAAATGTGCTCAAGAGTACCTGTCCAGGGTGCGCAAAGAGGAGCAGAGATATCAAGCCTTGAAGATTCATGCAGAGGAGAAATTAGACAAGTGAGTTGTGCTTAATTTCTGCTTACTGTGTATTTTTTTGTCCACAATTACTGTGACTGTTCATCTGGAATAAGTTTAGCTGATTCTACTTGTTCGTGTTGGTTAGTTAAAGCTGCTGTAGCAAATTTGGAAAACAAATTAGCTTAAAGCAAACACCATAAAAAAACACCAAAAATTCATAAAGTGGTTCTCTTGCATTTGTCTATAAACCTCGGCCAATGACACCTTTTGGACCGAAAGCAATCATAGAACCGTCCGGTTGTCGGTCTGGCCGAAACCGCTGCACTTCCCTGGGTCCTACCCTCATTATGCGCTCGCAAATTTAGCAACAGAACACCACTGGTGTGAGTGGTTTGCAGCTTAATAATATCAGAGAAGTAGAAACAGCCGGCTGCTACCACTTCAACTTTAGGACAAACTACCAGAGTCCCAAAAAGAAAAAACACTGTTTAAATTCACAGACAACAAGAGATGTTTGGACCTACAGCATCACGCGCTTCTGGTTCCGGCAGAAGCGTCTCAGGGAAGATACCCGAGGGGAATGGTTAGAATAGAATAGAATAGAATAGAATAGACTAGACTAGAATAGAATAGAGTTTACTTTCTACAGCAACACACACACACATGTGTTTCCAGAACAGTGCAGCATACTGTAAGGGACACAGACATACTATGTAAATCCAGAATTGCACAAGTATTGAACACTTTCTGAGTACTGTATTGATGTTATTGTGTACCAGGATAATGCCAGTACCAGTTAAACTGAGGAGTTATACACTCTTACTGCAGAGTCCAGGAAACAGCAGAGAACGTCTCGGCTAGTAGAGGCTAACCATTAGCAAAATAACCTCCACCACACGGCAGAACTCCTCCAGGCTTGTTTATTTTTATTTGTGGAGATAAAACATTGAGTCACCTCGCTGTTATAAAATCAGAGGAGAGATGTCCAAATATCAGGAAATGACCGTCTGAAGCTACTTTCTCCTTCAGCTGACTTCTACATCCTCAAAGGCCCAATGGAGCTTTTATTTCCCCAGAGCACGACTTACAAGACCTTCGTTCCTACTAGAGACCCCTGCAAATGTATTACAAACATGAGTAAAGTTGACCTTCAAGCCCCTCTACCACCACTTCATCATTCTGTTGGCATCCGTATAATAGGGGTATTTTTTTTATTACTTAGATGAAAATTCATCTGCAGGAAGAGCTGAACATCTTTCTTCAAAGTATTAAATGTATTAAAAAAATAACAGGAATAATGAAATAATGTGAAAATTAGTTAGGCTTTTGCTGACAAAGAAGATTTTTTCTCTTACTGCAGAGGGGATGAATGACCAACGGTAGCTTTCTGTTTTTACAGGATGTCTCAGTCTGCCTCTGAAGGAGCTGCCCACGGCCAATAACATTCACTTGTTATTCTTGAAATACGATTGTTTACTGAGTTTCACATGCAGGCTGAACATGAAAACAGTCTTCTACTCCTGTTTCCTTCATTAGCCAACAAAAGGAAATAGATGGGGAAATTAGAAAAAGCCAAAGAGATCCAGGTCAAATGGTAAATTAGCATTCAAGGACTTTTGGTTTGCTACCGTAGAAGGCTGTGTTGATTTTTGCAGCTAAGAGAAAACAGATCGCTTACCCGCTAGTAGAAGCTAACGTTAGCTCCCCCCAATCATCCGGCTAACTTCTACTTCCTGAAACCGAGCGCCAGAGCTTTTTCCCCACAAAAAAATGATGCATAAGGCATTGATTTATACTAGAGACCACAGCAATTGTCTTGAAATAACGAGTGAATGAGAGCTTTAACCTTTTTCAGAGATTCATTGGGATGCCTTTTGGTTTGGTTTTTGCACTTCTGGATCTGTATTATTCCTTGGATTTTGCAGCCTTGCACAGGCTCTGCAGAGTTAACTGATTGTGTATTTTGTATTTCCAGGGCCAATTCAGAGATAGCCCAGGTGCGAGCCAAGGCCAAGCAGGAGCAGGCGGCCCACCAGGCCAGTCTGAGGAAAGAGCAGATGAAAGTGGACTCCTTGGAGCGCACGCTGGAGCAAAAGGTTAGCTGTAGGATTTGAAAGATGCAAAATAACAGGAAGAAATATCTGCACATGTATTTAAACTGTGACCTTTAACAACTGTTTCACAGAACAAGGAGATTGAGGAGCTGACAAAGATCTGTGATGAGCTGATCGCCAAGATGGGGAAAAGTTAGCAGCCTCAAATCGAGGGAACCCGTTGCCTTCCTCCTTAACTGTTCTGTACATTCTTTGATGTGTCAGTGTGTCATACTGTATCAGGAGTCCGGTTTCAAGTTTTAGAGAATCTATCATATCAGTGACAAGTGTGTGTGTGTGTGTGTGTGTGTCTGTGTGTGATAGAGTGAAAGCGTTGTTTGTTGGATAAATTTATGATGTTGCCATGACAGCCACTGAGGGAGAAGACTGTTCCCCCCTCCTGTTAGCGTCTCCTTTTGCTGCGAGATGAAGATAGATTTTTGAAAGACTTCCAGATGTTTAGATTTATTCATTAAAATGTTAATACACCTAACAGAACTAGAGCCCTGCATGTAAGAAACGTTAATGTTTGTATATAATGTACTGTAGAAAGTTTGATATAGTTATTCTGTCACCTTCGCCTCACCTTTAACCATTTAGATACTTGTTATTGTTTCTGTTTGTTTTTGGATGTGGAACTTTATTTTTGGATTTTATATTGATATAAATCAAACATTTTGGATGACTGTATCCTAGTCCTGCAATGATTAGCTATTTGTCACGCTGAGGCAAAACTTCTCTGCACAGCTACTGTGCGACATCAGCTTACAACGTGCAATAAAAGATGGCAATACTGCTTTGGTCTTTCACTTTGTTCACTTTGTCTGCAGATCAAAGGTAAAATTCAGTTTTTTTTTCAGCCTAAAAGTAGACGAAGGATACTGAAATTATTTGACAGTATCTGGTCAGCTTCTTGGCGATACTGAAACTCATAAATGGTAGAATGTTTCTGTAGCAGCAAAGATGATGTAAAGGTGTAAAGACCTCAGTGATGGTGAAGGAATACATCATTCCCCAGAGTCTGGGTTACTTCCATTGATGCAGAGGCGTATGTTGGGAGTTTTGGAGAGACACATGCATCCATCAAGGCAGCACGTCTTCCCAGGAGGTGGTTATTTCAGCCTGACAACCCCAGACCTCATTCTGCATGACTTACGGCATGTGGCTTCAAGGACACCGAGTGCCTGAGCTCCAGATCCATCTGCTGGAAATGTTTGGCATGTTATGAAGAGGGAATCAGACGATGTAGGCCACACAATAATCACCAGGCTGTTTTTATGCTTTTCTGCACAACTTTGATACAAGTGAATGTTTGAAATACAATAAAGTTATTCCCATTCATGCATTTAAATAATTTGGTGCCTGCAAGCTTGCACAGACACCTGAGCATTGTTCTCACCGTGTCCCTCAGTCTTCTTCTTGGTCTCTATTCATTCATCATTCACAGCTCAGAAGTTGGTCCATCTGTGCTGAAAATGCTCCACTTTCATCCTTCCTGATGCTTCTTGTCTGTTCTTTAAAGCTTGTCACTGAAAAACCATTTTTAGTCATTATTAATGCAGGCTGAACATGAAAGTAGTCTCCTACACCTATCTCCTGCATTAGGTTCTGATAGAAAAGAGATGGTGAAACTCTATGATTAAAAAAGCCTGACAGATCTACGTCACACTGTCATGTAACATTCATGGACTAACCCATCTTCACTCATGACGGGGAAGTTGCTTTAACGTCCAGGAAACAGCAGAGAACGTCTCAGCTAGCAGAAGCTACCCGTTAGCATTAGAATGTCAACCACGCGACAGAACTCCTCCAGGCTTGTGTTATTTGTGGAGATAAAACATCGAGTCACCTTGCTGCTATAAGATCAGAGGAGAGATGTCTAAATATCAGGAAATAAGACCGTCTAAGACTTTCTCCTTCAGCTGACTTCTGCATCCTCAAACAGGCACAATGGAGCTTTTTATTTCCCCAGAGTACGACTTACAAGGCATTCGTTCCTACTAGAGACCCCTAGAAATGTACATTCAAGCCTCTCTACCACCACTTCATCAATCTGTAGACATCCATATAAAAGAGATTTTTAAAAATTATTTTGATGAAAATTTATCTGCAGGAAGAGCTGAACTTCATACATCAAAGTACTTATTAAAAGAATACATGATTACAGAAATAGTGTGAAAATTAGTTAAGGTTTTGCTGCCAAAGATTATTTTATTAATAGTTTAAAATAGAATGGAATAGAAAATCCCTTTATTGTCCTTCTGGGAGAAATTTTGGAGTAGCAGCAGCAATTACATTCACAAGAAGGACAAAGAAGAGTAAAAAGGTGAATAGAAGGACGTGCATAGAACAAATACTTGTATGCAAGAAAAATATTTATTGAACTGACCACATTTTTAAAATTATGGTTTGAAAAGACTAGCAAAAATTACAGGGAGTGAGAAAATGGATGTGGAAATGTGCAAATAAAAAATTAATCAGTGCAAATAGAATAAAAACAGAAAAAAAACGACTGTCCTAGTAACAAAAGCTGCAGGATACTATTATGTTTTTTCTGTTTTTAACCAATTAATAAATGTAGGAAAACCTAAATTGAAATAGTGTTTGTTAAGATAATTCTTTAGGACTTTTGACTGCATATTTGTGCTTTTTATTCTTCCTCTGATGTTAAACAAAAGCTGGAAACCCACCTGAGAAGGTGCATTATTGCCACCTACTGGACTGGAATGGGATTGGATTGTAGATTATTTAGCCAAACTCACAAAGTCTCTAAGCAAAGGTGAAAATGATTATTCTTTTTAATATTTAGTTTGAAACACGGTATTCACATTGCATGTGTGCTCCTTTAAAGAAGGACAGAGAAAAATACAACATTTAGGACCAAGTACAGCCAATAAAAGGCACTGCATGCTTCCTTTAAAAAAATAAATCAGGTAGACTTTATTCAAATACATAACGACATGGGTCCAAACTACCAGAGAAGTGATGTTCTTGGCATAAATGTGACCCTAATCACCAAACTTCTGATGCCAAAATGAGGCCATGTGACTCAACTAAGCACAGAAAAACAGCAGAAAAACAAAATCTTTGGATCGATGAGTGAAAAATGTAAAAGATCTGGCTGAAGCAGAGGGTAGTTCGTTTACCAAGCATCAGGAAAAGTCACAAGAGTCTGCAGGAAACAGAGAAGAATGATGGTAGTTGCACAAAAACCTTGATGCCAACATCAATCGAGGAAGAAGGTTTGAGCCACGCCGACATCCACTGAAGATCTGTAGCCTTCCAGGTTTTTATGGCCAGTTTAATCAGAACTGTGACTAAAGCTTTGGGGTTTTTCATTTTTGACAATAATAAATATTATCCCCTTTCAGCATCAATAAAAATAATTAGAAAAGCAGCATCGTTGAAACAGATGGCAATCTGTTTTGAATGATTTAATACGGCACTTAAAACTCCTGCCTGAATTAATCTGAACAATTATTTTAGTAAGAATCTGGAGCTTTTAGGTAAAATAATAGTTGCTCTCATGTGGGTGGATGCAGATGATTTATCATCATGAAGGAAATTAATCTGGTAAAGAGGGTAAAGTTTTTAGTGATCAATCCTGGAACGTCGGGATGACACAGAGGTTCAAGATACCATACCATACCATAGTTTATGTATTTAGCACATTTAAAATGCAGCATGGTGGCTGCCCAAAGCGCTGCACAGGCTAAACCAAAACACGACCAATCTAAGGAACTAAAACAGAAGATAAAAATACCAATCAAAAGCAGATAAAACATGAGGAATACTAAGAACACATTAAAACAATAACACAATAAAACACTAAAATGAGTCGCTGTCTAAAAGCCAAATCGTAAAAGTGGGTCTTTAAACGAGATTTAAAAACCACCAATGATGGAGCCTGCCGAAGTCCAATGGGCAACGAGTTCCACAGCTTTGGGGCAGCATGCAAAAAGTGCTCGTTCACCCCGCGATTTGTATCACATCTGGGGCGTGCACAGCAGCAGGAGGTCAGCCGACCTCACCGTGCGCATGGGTACATAAGGAGTGAGCAGGTCAGAGAGACAGGGAGGTGCCAGGCCGTTGAGTGCTTTAAATACAAAAGTCAATAACTTAAAGGGACTTTTGGGACCTTTGAATTTTTATGCTCGCAATTGCCCCCTCAGGTCAAAAGCGTAACGACAGCTTCAATAGTAGGCTCGTGCACGAGGCGCGCATGCTGTACATGCACACTCCTTAACGAAAATAACAGCTGAAACAGTCCCGTGTGTGTGTGTGTTTGTGTGTGTGTGTGTGTGGCCCGGAGGACAGAGGACAGGAGAACGCGCAGCTAATTAATTAAATAATTTGGTTCTGTACCTTTCTCTTCAGCACTGCTGACAAAGGTTTATGATGGGTTAGTCCTCCTGCATGCTCAGATCATTCCCTTCCCTTGCTTGAAAAATTGTTCCAAAATGAAAGTTGAACCCGCATCTTTCTTATCTGTGAATTAAATGCCGTTCGGCGAGTCTCAAATAAAAATTTGGGCATCTTACTGTAAAAAAATATACCATTGATGTAAAAAAGAAACTCTAAATGAACTATGTTCACATCCAGAATCGAAACCAGGTCTTCTGCATGAGAGTCAAACATCTTACAAGGTGAGCTACACACCAGTAACATTCATAGCATCTGTAACTTTTATATCCTTGATGACACCTGAAACAACGTCAAACCAAAGAATGGTTCGGAGCGAAAATGGCTATTTTGTTGCTGTAACGTTATGAAGTTATGATTTTCAGCTCCTAAACGCTGCCCCTGTACACATTTACACCCGTGTAGAAAACGCCAAGGTCGTCTGATCCTCAGACTGTTTACATTCCAGAAGAAGGAAGAAGAACGCTTTTACTTAATCAAAGTACTTTATTTGTGATTAAAAATTAAGCAAAACATATGTTGATCAATAATAATCAAGTGAATGATCTGTGAAATAAAGATGTCATGATTTATGTGTTTAATGAGTAAACAGGACGACATGCACAGACAGACTGACACTCATCCCCATGGCAATGCATGACACATTGCTCCAACCAATCAGAGCCTTCGGCTGCCGCAAGAGAATCTGGCTTGTTGACTTAAAGTGTCCAATCCGCTTTACTAAAACTTATCAACAATTCAGAGATATAAAACAAGGCAACGCCATTTTAAGCTCAGTTCCATTTTGACTTCAGTTCTATTCACCGTCATCCCAAAGAGAAGCACAGCCTGGCCAGATGTGTTTTCGTCTTTAAACTAAGAACTGTGAAGTTGGAGATTTTTGTCGTTTAACAACCAGACGACATCCTTTCAAAATAAGAGCACCTGCTGACGCTGCCGATTGTTACCTGGGTCGACCCTTCAGACGGGCTTTGAAACGCTGCGACCGCTGTGTCGACCAGCTCCAGCGCACATCCGAGGTCTTCAGACCTGGCATTTCCTGATCTACCTGGGAGGCCCCCACTGGGTACGTACACGGCAAAATAGCGGCTCATGTCATCACTTTATAAGCCTCGTGATATCTAGTCATAACAAAGACTACCAGATTCAATGACGTCAGCCTAAGGAGTCTGAACCAACCACACACACACACACACACACACACACACACACACACACACACACACACACACACACACACACACACACACACACACACACACACACACACACACACACACACATCGAACATCACATTCATTTCCAAACAACACAGAGTTAGTCCTGATAGATTGTAGAATTTATAATAAAATTCTTAAACGATCCCAACTCTCTCTTTTCTTGTCTCAAGGTCAATACAGAGTGTTAAATGAACTCCCTGATGATAAAAACAACCTATTCTTCTGATTATAAAAACTAGATCTACTTACAGTATATTAAAATACAACTCTAGATCGTTACATCACTCTATTTCACTACATTGCTAATTTGCAGGAAATATCTAGAAGAAAGTAGCTAAGGGTCCTCAGAAATGTAGCTAGGTTCATCACTAGGCGTTAGGAACAGCGACAAAGTGGCTGAGTTGGCACTACCTCACTCTCTGCTGCTAAAGCTACTGATAGCAAATGCTACGGGCGATGCCTGAGCGTGAACGCGCATGAAGCAGCCTGCTCGACCCGAGCAACTCTCTTTTTCTGTGATTTTACAGAAAAACAGGCAATCACAGTAAAAATGCCAGGGCTCATTCTACAGGACCAGGGCATTGCAGGAGAATGTACGAAGAAGACATTTATTATTTCTATACATGTTATGGCTGTCAAACTTCCATAATGCCCCTGCAACTGGTGTGAGTCAAAGGCCCCGCTGGTCTTGACTGGTAATCCCTTTGGTGAGTGCAGGAGTAGATATGAGCTTGTTTGATAAACCAGATTAAGTTCAGAGGGTTTAAGGAGCTAACAGTCTGCTTTTCTTTGTGTGATCAGGAGGAGCGAAGGACCAGCAGCACCATGAGAGCCGTCCCAAACTGTCTGCTGCTCCTGCTTTCTGTGGTCCTGCTGGCTGCTAAAAGTAAGAACAGCATTTCTTTACTCTGCTCTTTTAAAAACACATCTTCTTTCACTTTTTTCTTCGATGAGATTAGTTAAAATTCCTCAATCCACCCGTCATGCCTAGCGGTCCCTTAGGTGTTAAAAAATGTCATCCTTCTTTTACTGGTGTGCTTGTGTTTTGCTGAGAAGTGTGAAGCACTCTTCTGGCATCACGGGACTAAATAATGGACAGTTTTGTTTGTTTTCAAATGATCTTTATTCATTTGTTTGGTAATACTTTACAATAAGGGCCCCTTTATTGTCGTTACTTATTAAGCATTATTAAATTATTAAATTAATGTATTATCAACTGCTTAATATTAATGTTAATATTAAATAATGCATTATTAAGTATACACCCCCCCCCCCCCCATCCCAACCCTTTAATGGTAACACTTTACAATAAGGGTCCCTTTATTGTCGTCACTTATTAAGCATTATTAAATTATTTAATTAAAGTATTATCAAGTGCTTAATATTAATGTTAATATTAAATAATGCATTATTAAGCATACCCCCCCATCCCAACCCTTTAATGGTAACACTTTACAATAAGGGTCCCTTTATTGTCGTTACTTAGAGCCTCATTAAGCATTAATTAACAAAGGATCCCATTATTAATGTCCCCGATATTATTCACTGTTATCTGCTGAAGGATTGTCTGTTTAGTAACCCTATTAATAGTAATATTGAGCAGTCGTTAATACTTTTTAAATAGTTTATTGATGCTTAATAATGCATAAAGTAACGATAATAAAGGCATCCTTATTGTAAAGTGTTACAGAATTTCTTTTTCTTTTTTTTTCTGTGATTGATGTTACAAATAAACTTTACTTAATAATCATTTTCCCCTTTAAAACCTAAAATATTTGACAGTTAGCAGCTCATGCTGACGCTTTGTGCATCTATTGTTTTTGATGGTTCATTTCTGTGTTGGATTTTGCCCCTTTCTGTCCATCCCGCTGTAACTAGCCTGCAATCCAGGTAGCTAATCCTTTGATAGGCTTGCAGGCTAATACTTTTAGCATGTGTGGAAAAGCTGCTGTTTAGTGAGGATAGATTGGGGTCATCAGAAAACAGCGGGGGGCATTTTAATGCCCTGCAAACACAATCACTAGGAAAAAAAACAATGTCCAGGTTTCAATATTTATCGGCATTTTTGTGTTTGTTGCTTTCAAAACATTTAATGGACATCATAATATAAGTTGTTTTGTGGTTAGGTTTCTCTGATCCCTACCTGCACAGAAGCAAGGCTGTGTCTGTGTCTGACACACCTGAGGTAAAAAAGAGCTACTCTGATAGCCAACACAAGAGATGTGCCGCGGCTAAAAGAATGTTTGAAGCTTTTAGTGCCTCCAGCTCTGATCCTCTTAGGAAGCAGCGTTCGAGGCCGCTTGTCTGGAATATAAGGGAGGGATGGAGGATTTTAAAAGGAAGCGTTTTAAATCTATAGCACTTCAAAGGTCAGTTTGTTCCCAAGTAACCCCTTTTTCCTCGTGCGAACTAAAAATGAGTTTTTGTATTTATACGCTGCACTGACTTCTTGAGGCATTAGCTGAAGTATACGGAGAAGTATTTTTAAACTCGTGGACATCATTGACCCTTTCTTCATAGATTTGGGAACATTTGTGTGAAGTAGGGGATTAATTAAGTCTGTCTCTTCACTTTAGTCTCAGCGTTTTCAGCAGAACTGCATCACACAATCGCATCAAACAGAATAAAGGATGAAGATATCATGAGTTGAGGCTCTTGTAGATATTTGGTCATGCTTCAGACCTAAAGCAGTGATGCAAGCTTCAGTTTCCTCCAGGCCTTTAAAGGTTCTGGATGACGTTTTATCTTAACTAGTATTGGCACTGAGTTTGTCGAGGAAGGCGCTGGCTGAGATATTCACAGACTTTACTTTGCCAAAGCGGCTGCTGGATTCTCTTCAAGAATCTACAAAACAAATTCTAATTTGGGGGATTTTTCATAGACAAACAGAGCAGGAGCAACACAAGCAGCATTTGCATAGCTGAGCATAATAGTGTCTCAATTTGTGCAGCCTTATTTCTCTTCTTTGATGAAATAATTTGCATAATTCTTTAAAGATTTCCCTTTTTTTGGTCTTATTCAGATGAGGCTTTGAAGTGTTACACCTGCATGGGCTCTAATAATGACGACTGCAACCGACAAGGCTCCAAGTCCTGCCCCAGCTACTCCGATGCCTGCACTGTGGTGGTGGGCCATGATAGTGAGTCCAGCAGTTACATGCTCATATTAAACATATTTCCATGTGTGTGTGTGTGTGTGTGTGTGTGTGTGTGTGTGTGTGTGTGTGTGTGTGTGTGTGTGTGTGTGTGTGTGTGTGTGTGAGCTTTATGAGCAGACAGGATGTTGTCTGGAGAAACCTCCCACTCAGCAGGGCGTTGGAGTTTTGTCAGGGAATAAGAAGCTTGGAAAGCTACTCAGCCAACATTCCTAATTAGGACACCATGTGGTGGTGAAGCCCCAGTTTTACCGAATCATATCCGGTTCTTGAATCTGTACAACACTTTAGTTAAGGAGCAAGTTCACTGAGAAACTTTTTTTTTGTAATATTAAAGTTAAAGTCCCATTAGTCATCACACACTGGGGAAGATCATCTCTGCATTGGCCTATCCCTGTGGGGAGGGGTGAGCTTCAGCTGTGGCTGCGCTTGAGGTTTATTTAACCCCCCAATTCATCCCCTAAAGCTGAGTGTCCAGCAGGGAGAAATTGGGTCCCATTGTTAAAGTAATTGGTCTGACCCGACCGGGACATGAACCTCGATCTCTTAGTCCCAGGGAGGACACTCCCAATAGGCCACTGAGAATGTGTGATTGGTCACGCTGATATGTAGCCTAGTGAACTAGACCAAATTCTTGCTTTGCAAAGTTTGGTCTAGGCATGCTCCACTGGAACCTCTGCAGCCCCAACAGCATTCTGGCTAGCCAATCACAGCTCTCTAGAGGGGTTTCAAATACATAAAGAGCTGTGATTGGTCCATAATGGTGGGCCAATCATAGTGCTCTATCTGCTTAGTGAACAAATCACAGAGCTTTATCCGCTTTGTGGGCCAATCAGGGCACTCTATATGCCTGGTGGGTGGGATGATGCAACAGAGTGAAACAAGAGTATGTCACATTCATTGTCCAGTAGCATGCGGAGATCATTTGAAAGACAACGGTGGAACCCACCTCACAACCGAGAGCCGTCAATGGAGCGTTGCCAGACTAAATAATATATTTATTTAGTCTGGCTTGCCAGGCTAGCTGATATATGGATAGATGGGAAAATGCTCAGATTAGAAAAAGTCACGCATATTTACATCACACTGAAAATTTGCATTCATGGTCTACCCTATCTTGGCTCGTGACCAGAGAAGGCTGTTGTTGAGTTGGCGTCCAGGAGAGAGTAGAGTGCATATCGTCTAGTAGAAGCTAACTGTTAGCTTTAGCAACTCCACAACAGAACTCCTGACGCCTTGTGTATCCGTGGAGATAAAACATCATTGCAAAGCAAACAGTCAGTGGTAGAGTTATGTTGTTGTTAGCCAATCAGAGGAGGGATGTTTGAATTTCAGGAGTAATGAGTAGTAAGACTCTAAATCCTGCCATTTTCTACTCCCCACTCATCTGGTTAACGTCCACTTCCTGAAAGAGGAGCACCAGAACTTTTACACTAGAGATCACTACAAATGTATTCAAATAAGAAATGAGAGCTTTAAAGCTCTTTTCTGTAAAACATTGAAATATCTTTAAAAAAGTAATTTACTGAAATGCTGTTTTTGAGCTTGTGTCATTAGTTGCCAATGGCAACAGGCTGTGTCTTAAGCCCTTTCAGATAGACATTCCAGAATATGTGTGGACAATTCAGTCCGGTTTTTAACCAGAACTGTGTTTTTAGACACACCTCTTTTGTACCGGAACTTGTCCATTCGGCTGCCTTCAAACAGCAGGGAAAAGTTCCAGATGTCCGGGGGGGGGGGGGGGGGGGGGGGGATTCGGACTTATGTTAAGCGTAATTCTACGCACACGAAGACGCATAAGACCTGGATGATGGTGCTCAATGGTTAAAGGAATCACAGAAGTGGTGTGATGCGCTCCGTCGCGCGCCTAGACGGTACCGTAGGAGGCGAGCTGCCATGGTTCGCCGCATGCTACAGGAGCGAGCTATCTAGGAGCGCACAGCGTCCCCCGGTCCCCTCCTCTTCCCCCTCCTCCCTTTCCAGAACTCAACCTCACCAGTCTGAAGCAGCCACCTTGTCCGTAACAAGTCCGGACCTGTTACTAGGGGCATCGTCCGGTTTAATTGCGGAAAACGTTATCCGGATGTTTGTATTCAGACACAAAGGTCTTACAGACAGAGTCCTGAACATTTCCATTTTCATGGCCTGTCTGAAGGGGGCTCTAGTCACACTACACTGTATTGATTGACATACTGTCAGACTGTCATGGTTTGAGGAAGGTGTCTAACCCACGACAGGCAGAATCACGAACCCGTACACAGATTGATGGAAAAAATGAAATGGTTTTATTTAATAATGAGAACTTTAGGGCATGCTGGGAATTCCAGCGGATCAGAAGAACCTGAAACAGCGTCTGGAGGGAGATCAAACCAGAGGTGAGTCCTGGGAGAACAGTCTAGGCAGGATATGCTACGAGGAGACTTACGGAGGATGATTGGGTTTGGGAAATGAGGGGAGGTTGAGAGCCGGGGTGGATGCAGAGGGGAGATGTTCAGAGCTGGAGAGGGAGCGTGGGGTCGAGAGAGAGAGCGGGTCGGTCAGAGAGGATGATGATGAACGTGACTGAGTGAGGAGTCCAGGAGTCCTATGGGATTTGAGCAAGTAATTCCAGAAGTGCAGAGAACCTGAGGTGGGTAGGCCAAAAATACAAAAATCACAACGAGATCAAAAAATGCACTAGAGTATTTCCAAGAAAAAAACCTGAGGACTAGAGCGAAGACTGGAAACTACCGAGTCGTAGTAATCATCCGGCGTCGAGCTGTGCTCACCACCTCCTTAAGTAGTCGACCCGCTAATCAGCTGATCTGGTGCAGCTGCCGCTCCCTCTCCTGCAAACACACTCAGAGATGTTTAGTGAGAGCGAGTACTCACCCCGGCTCACGACAGAGACACCTGCTAAGTAAAGGTAACAAAAACTTGTTTTTCATCCCATTGCTTGGTTCTGATCTAACAACAGTGTAGTAAAGATTTGTTTTTACCTTTTATGCTGACAAATTTCAGCTAGCGCTGTAGCCTTCCTCAGAGCACCGCCATCGCTGGTGGCGTCACTTCCTTCTCTGTTTATCTGTGGCCAGCAGAGGATGATGTCGCCCTCAACTGACTCCTTGCTGATGACAATGTCCCGTGAGCGATCCAATGTGTAAACTCCATCATCTCTATTCATGGTCCTGGGTCCACGTCTCCTTATTTCTATCGCTTCTTTAATACATCTTTTGTATTTCTGTTGTTCTCGGTTCATGATCTGTGTGCTGTCTCAGTCCATTACTTGGTTTTCTGCTTTGAGGAAGGCTACAATGTTAGCCGTAACATGTCAGCTTAAAAGGTAAAATCAGATCTTTACAACGCTGTGTTTAGAAAAGAATCAAGCAATGGATCTTGACGGATTACACAGAACAAACGTAGAAAAGTTGTTTCTCATTGTAGGTGGCGTGATGAAGTCATGTTCATACAAGTCCTTCTGCAGCCAAGCCAGCAGTCAGGGCTACAGAGCTCCGGGTGTCAAAGTTCACTGCTGCTACACTGATGACTGCAACGTGAACAACTTCGCCTCCTGCTTACCTAGACTGAGCCATTGGATGCTTTTCCTCCTCCTCCTCCTGCTGCTGTTGCACTAATCCCTCTTGATCTCCACAAACCAATCAAGCCAACTCACTCATCACACAAAGGCCAACTTCAATGCCAAAAGGACCTGCTTCCCTTTTACTTTCAATACCCTATTTAAACTCACATTGTAAGGTGGATGCTGCACAAAACAGAGTTTGGGGCCTTACTTGCAGGTTTGTGGCTTATTGCATCTGCAGTGCAGAAGATGATATCCACTGGATGCATGTTTCAAAGGATTTCACCTAATCAGGGTAGACCAAAGCAGATGTTCTGCTGAAGATCTGGGGCCAGATGTGGGTCTTAAGTCCATCTGCAGTGGCTCTTTGTAGCTTTGATGAGAAATGACATGGAAACCAGGATTGAATTCTCAAAGCAGATTCATCATTTTGCTCTAATAATCTTTTGCCTATTAGTTCATCTAACTTCCAGGCGTTCTGCATGACCTTTTCCTGAAATTCACCACATAATGTTTTACTGTTTTAACCACATTTAAACCAGATGTTGAGCTGAACAAAAAATGCTGTTTTGCACACAGATGACAAAAGAACATTAAGGTACTGTGATGGCAACTGGAACCAGAAGCAAAGACTTTTCTTTTCCTGAGAACAAAGTCAATCACAAATAAAAATCCAACAAGCTGGTGTTTTAGTTGGCTCTAAATCAGAGATGCTTCTAAGTGAGTTTCTTCTTTTCCCCCAAATCTATAGAGATAAGTTAGTGTTTAAGTTGATTTAAAGCAACACTAAATTATTTTCCTGCTTCTCACTGCTGCTGGCTGAACGCCAAATTACAACCATCGTAAAAAACCATGCCGTTAGCCTGCTGTAGCTAATGCTAACAACGAGCTAACAGTGACACGAGCCAACTGATATTAAACTAGGCCACAAAGTACAACAATCCACACTGTTGGACAAAACAACACAATTACTCACAAGTCTAGTAGCAACAAAGCCAGGCCACTATCAGTCTGATTTTGTAGCCTCCTTTAGCTCCATCAAATGATTTTAGCTCATTGCTTCACCTGCAAAGACATACCCTTTTGTATGAGCTACAGCACAGCCATGCGCAAATGCTGTAAAGCAGGTAGAGATCTGCCCTCAGTGTTCCTACGTGAAACAAAGTGTTAGGTGTAGTGTCTGATCAGCAGAAAATCACAGAAGCCAGTTTAAAAGCAATAGCTTAAAGTGTTAAAAACTATTCAGTGTTATTTTAACCCTCCCACTGTCCTAATGGGTGTGACCCCACGAGGAAAGTTGACCATTGAGCAGGGTTGATGGTTTATCCCTTGAGGTCCACACGGCAGGGGTGAGGTGGTGCTCACTCCTCACCCCTGCCACGTGGACCCACGGGATAAACCATCAACCCTGCTCAATGGTCAACTTTCCTCGTGGGGTCACACCCATTAGGACAGTGGGAGGGTTAAAGCTGTCCATACAATGTAATACACATAAATATTTCCACCTCATCACAAGACGTTAGTCCTTTTCTGATATAAAAGTACCCAGAAATGCTAAACATATATATATTTTACGTAATATCACTATAAATACCAACTATTTTTATGTAGTTTAGGTGAAAAAAGTTAATACTTTGATTTTAAGGCACCAGAATAAATTTATTTAGCAAAAATTACCTTGAAAGTTACAGAAAGGAAGGGATGAAGCGCCTTCAATCTCAGTTCAAATAAAAAAATAAAAGTCCTCTGGGATTTCCACTAATCAACATTTAAGAGCTTGTCTTTACCTTTCAGCACAGCTTGTTGAAGCAGACGTTCCTGCAGCAGAATCTGGCACTAAGGGTTCAGTCAACTGCTGTGCTGTTATATAATTAGGTTCTTACCTGTCAATCACCTATACGGGGCGTGTGAGCACTACTACAAGGTGAGAAAATGTCTCATGCACTGCAAATCCTTTCCACATAATCCTTTTACACACCTGCACCCAGGTGTGCTACACAGATGAGGCTAATCTAAAGTGTTTGAAGTCTCTTAATTTCATAAACTTAATCTGAATGCATTCCTGCTGCAGGATGACGTGCACATGGAGATGCTACGCAGTAAATGTGCTTAAAGTGGGAGGAGATGGTGTTAGTTGAGTGATTTATGCAGCAGTTTTCTCCTTCAGGAACTCATTTTTGGATGTTTATTACAATATAGCATAGGCTTTTATGCATATTTCAGTTTGTCAACAAGAGTATATTGAAATGTAATGTTTACCACAAGGAGCGTATGTGCATTCTTCTGTATTTGCTTTTAAAAAACAAAATCTGATGTATGCGATGTAAAGCAATGTGAGTGGATATAAACCATTAGTGTACAGCATGAATATAAACTATTGATAATATGAGGATTTGACTTTGTGCATGTATGTGTGATGTGTTTCCTGCTTTCTTACGCTTGTAATGCACCCACCCTCCACAGCGAGACAGTCTAGTTACACCTCTGACTCCAATCAGCACACGCCATCTCTCTTCCGACTGTTGCAATTCATATTGACCAACCGCGCCTCGTGGGTACTGCAGAGATTGGCTTTGGTCAATAGCGATGATGTTTGTACAGTTTTATTACCATCTGCTGGGGTTTGTGCGTTATTTAAATAACGTGGAAATTCTTTCTCTTTGCTTCTCACTTTGATTTAACAGGGGGAAAAAAGTGAGACTCTGTCTTTCTGCCTGGTTTCCTCCTGTGATGTCCTGCCGCTCTCTCCTTTGATAGGCAGGTGTGAGAGTGTGAAGGCATTGCCCTTGAGAGGGATGGACACTGACCTCAAACCGTGAATCTGCAGGCCTGTTTTGGTTCCGGCTCTGGGTCCTCATGCTTCACAAGCAGCCAAAAGTGTGGCCCCACATCTAACCTAATCAGTTTTCACTTTAATTAGAGCGGGAGATGAAGCTCTTATCACACTTGAAGGCTTGATGTTGGGTTAGTTTTTGCAAGAGTCTTAAGTTTATGTTCAAGTGAGAGTTACTGCCCGGTTGTTCCTGAAATGCCATCAGCCAGCAGACGTGTGCGGACAGAGTTTCAGATATGATGGACGATTTGAAAGTGCAATCATGCCTAAAGCCCCCGCTGAACCCAAGCGTCTCTGACCAATAACGCCAGTCGCCATTTCCCCGCGCGTTCACCATCTGAGCTAAAACTGAAGGTCATTGCCGTAGCAACTTTGCTGTTTAAATTGGAGTATGTTTAATCCCAATCCTCTGGCACCTGAAGACATTATCACTGCAAATCCCACTGTCAGTCATCAAAAGGATGAGCCGGCTGCCCTTTAAGGGAGGCTGTGCAGAAGTAGCAGGACTGACGGGGAGTCTTGTCTACAGTACAGTGATTTCTAAAGTAAACCAAACAGCTTTTCCTTCAGAATCCCATCAAACGTCTCCGACTGACATCCCTGACAGAATATTTTCTCCGTGTGTGGGATGGTGTGTATTTTTCTGTGAGGAGTGGATTTATAGTTTGGTGATTATTTACAGTATTAACATTTTTTAAAGTGATTTAGAATTTTTCAGGTCCTGGGTCGGGACTTTGCTGGATTTCTTTTCTTTTAAACTTTTTTCGATACTGTTCAGCAGTTTTCAACCTTTTTACTTCCTGGAAAAAACAAACAATAAACTAGTATTTTTTTCGGGCATTTTTTGAAGTCAATTTGGGACATAAGAGTTATAATACATTCACAAGCAGTTTTTAAATCTCGGCTGAAGACCCATTTTTACAAACTGGCTTTTGGAGTGATTGTTAGTGCTGTTATTTTTCACTCATTTTATGGTTTTATTTGCTTGTTTTTGCCTATAAAATGCTATATAAATAAAGTTTGAGTCAAGTCGAGACAAGATGTGAGAATATCTGGAAATAAGACTCCAAATCATCTGAAGCTCAGCTCTAGCTCAACTTCTAGCTCCTGAAACAGGAGCGAGACAGCTTTTTACCCACAAAAATTGATTCACTGGGCATTCATTTATACTAGACATCACTGCAAATATGCTGACGAAACAAGTGAACTTGGTCTTTAAAGCACACACTGCTCAATTCGTAGTTGTGGTAAAAAGCAAGGAGTGGACAGATACTAAGGAAAAAATAAACTGTTGCAGTTCATCAGCAAACATCAAAATATTGATCAGAACCAATTTGGATCAAAAGAAGTGTGGGCTACTTCGAGGCAAAATGAAAAAGGAGATTTTATTTAAAGTTTTTGCACAGGAGGGCTGCACTTTTCAGTATTTTACAGATGCGCAACCATATTCTGAATAAACTGGGTTGAAGATGTCAAGCAGATGGTCTGAGTGAAGTCTCTTCCCGAACAATGAAGTGAACTTCTGAACCATTAGAGAAATCCAGGTCCTGCCAAAGCGACTGTCCTAGATGAGCAGGACCGTTCATCTAGGACAGTCGCGCCTCTTGAGGAAAAGTGTTGTTTCCAGCATGGCAACACTGGGGTGGGGATGCTGTCCCTGAAAGAAAATGACCAAACCATAAAAAAAAGAAAAAACAAAGAACAAGTGGAGGTTATTTAGTGGTAAATCACTGATCAGTCACTCCCAGTTAAAAAACAGCCAGCATCGCTTACCTGAAAATCACCCAAACTAGATGTTAGCAAAAAAATTCTATTTAAAAGCACACACACCGCTCAGCATTACTGCGGGGAGGGAACAAAGGCACTCGGGGGTAATGAGAGCGTGTTAGACGATGGCTGTGTTTACAAGTGCCTGGGTCCTGGCTGGTCGGCACAGGTTCACCAAGCGGTCAGCAGTTCTGAGGTCTCCGGGTCTTGGGCCTTTTTGAAAAAGATCTGTGAAGCAGAATTAAAGTGATCTACCTCCGGACCCTGGACAGAGGGCCACAAGGGTTTCTGGAGTTTGAAACAGGAAACATACAGAGAACAGGAGAGGGGCAGAGTTGGGCAAACAAAGAGGGGAGAAGGGATAAAGATGAGGAGAGCGATCTGTAGTGAGTGTGCTCCTCTGCTACGTGTAACGTGACTAAATGGTCCACCTTCATCGGGCTCGGTCAGCGGCATCAGTGTAACCTGGACAGTGGCAGGAAACAGGCACATTTATGAATTCAGTTATAGCAATTTTACATAAAGTGTCCAAGAAAAATAAGCTTCCTTCTACAATAAGGTCAACAAATTTGAAAAAACTCAAATTACTTCCTATGTGTTACTGGACAATGGACTGAAATTGACTAAAAAATCTAATAAATAAAAATAATTATAAAAAAAATATGAGGCTGTTTAAATAAAAAGGGTAACATTTTAAACTGACATTATTATTCCCGTAATAAAAACATAATTTAAAGCAACAATAAAGAGTTTTAACACTTTAGGATAGGGATGCACCAATTCCGATGCTGGCATCGGTGCATCCTTTAGGACATTGCTTTCAAATTGGTTCCAGTGGGTCTTTAGTCAGAAAGCAGCTTCACATGGAAAGGTCCTCTGCTGCACTCTTCTAGTCACAAACTGCACTAAACAACTTTGGTGGTTAGGCAGGTACATAATGGAGGGTCTCTACCCGCTTTACAGCTTTCTCGTGCAAAGGCTAGCAAGAGCTTTTGAGTTTGTTGAGCATCAATGAAATGCAAAAGAAGAAGAAGAAGAAGTATAGTTAGCTTTATTATTGACATTGTGGCGGAGCCTGGAAGTAAATTAAAGGGATAAATATTTAGAGTAATGTCTTTGGAGACAACGCATAAAGTTAAAGCCAGAGTGAACATCGGCGCAGCCTACACTCAGTTTAAGATTCAAACTGTCTAAAAAGTAG